TGATTAAATGGATGGAAAAGAGGGTTAATGTCCTGGAAAGTCCTAAATACAAGTTCTGAAAGTTGTGTTGAAAATTTACATTGTTCTTGTAGAAAAATGAAGCTCAACAAGCAAAAGAGAGAAGGGAGAAGATTCTGAATAAATTGGAGAATTCAAGTGTTGAGCGCTTAAACGTCCAAAGCAAACGTTTTAGCACGCTGCTGCAAAATGAAGCCAAAAAGTGCTGGTGTCGAGCGCTAAAACGGCCAAAGCAAAAGTTTTAGCGCTCTGCTGTTCAAAAAGATTCAGGTCTTGAACGCTAAAACGTTCAAGTCAAATGTTTTAGCGCTGAGGACAGTTGAAAGAAGTTGGGTATCCGTCAAAGTTGAACGCTAAAACGTCCAACAAGGAACGTTTTAGCGCCCGTGTCGGTTTTTGGATATTATTCAGTTGGAATTTGTAAACTATAAAAGGGCAAAGGGCCTTCACACTTGGGAGATCCTCTGATCTGACTTTTTACTCTCTGAAATTTTAAATTCCTTAGGTCCTAGTTTTTGTATTAGTTTAGTGTACTTTATGTAATTATGATTGAAGATTGAAGATTAAAGATTCAACATCATGACAATGGAGTTTGATCTTTCCTCTTCTTTTGTTTTTTCTTTTCTTATGTCTGAGTAGAGTCATTTGTAGTTAGATTTCAATGGAACTCAAAGATGAATTTATGTATGGTTGATTGAATATTATGATTATTTTTTATGTGATGATATGAAATTGTCTTTATCAATTCTTTCCAATAAGGGGGTAGTGTAGAACAGGAATGTTTACATTATTTCTGTAACTGGCAATTTCATCATCAGTGTTCTAGTATTCAAGGGATTGGAACTAATACTCTGATGTAATCTTTAAAATCTTAGTGCTTAATGTATGTATTAAGAAGGGAATTACCAAGGGATTGGGGTTCTTGATTAATGTATCAACCAAGGTAGTAAGGGATTACATCTTGGTGATAATAAAAAGGTTGATTGACACCACATGGAAGATAATTCATAATGGGATTGATTCTTACATAAGTCTATGGTTGAGGAACATTGATTTCTTACTACTTGTTGTAAAATTATAATTCACATTTTAGTTATTTTATCAAGCCCAAATACAATTCAATTTCTAGTGATAATTATCAATGTATTCAATGAATTCTTGTTTGATTCAACTTAATTATAAATGGTTAGTTGGTGTTTGAACACAAATCCTCATGGGAACGATCTTTACTTATCATTTTATTACTTGTACGACTAGTACACTTGCTAAAGTTGGAACAATATCACTCAAAGGTTTCTCTTTTAACACTTATATACGTTAAAGCATGCATCTTTAAACACATTTAGGTCAGTGATGGTGTTGGTTATCTACTCATCTCTTTTTACATGTCAAGACTCAACTTTTATCAAAGAAACTCATGATCAAAGGTACAAGAACATACCCCAAGGCTCAAAATAGAACAAAAGGGTGCTCTTGGAGCTCTCAAGTCAGCTCCAATGGTCTGCCACTTTGGAAGCACGAAAATGAGCAGCAAGTTAAGTCCTTTCTCTATCAAAATGGCTTCTTGAATCAACACAAACCAAGACAATGGCTCCCCCTCTACCAAAAACAGTGAAGTTAGTTCACTCCCTCCCCCAAACAGTGGCTGGAACTCAAAAATGGAGTGGCACAACTTGCACACAAGGTTTGCTCTCACCTATTCATGGTATTTTGGTGAAGGAAACTTGAAGAAAAATGATCCCTTGAAGGTTTCTACGGAGGAGGAGAAGGGTGGCTAGGGTGGCTGCTCAAACTTCAGAAATTTTACGTAGAAGTTTATGATTTCTGACCTATAAATCTGTGCAAAAATCCTATTTATAGCCTTATTAAGTTTTAATCGTCGGTATTAGCACTAATTGCTCCACTAATTTTTTTAATCCCAAACTTTATATTCTGAACCTAGCATTTTTCTAGGATTTAAAAAAAATTTATTATAATTTTCGCAGCACTTTGCTGGTACGCGCTTTTACGTAGCCGGTATCAGTTCCGACGCCAGTTCTCATTATTTCGACTCCAAACTTGACATACTAGTCTTAGATATTATTCTAGGAATATTCCTACACTTATTAAAATTTTCTGGGATACTTCATCGGTACGCACTTATACCGTGGAGCAGAACCGGTATTTGCACTTTTCATTAGAAAAGCGACTTTCAGTGTTATTAAGCCTTTATAATAATTATTTAAGTCTTCTCATAATTATTCTACGTCAATTATGGAAGTATCTCTTAAGCTCATCTTTAATTTAATTAAATTCCTAAATTAACGGTGCGCGTTCTTACACATAGTTTCTGTTTCAAGCCTCTTTATGGTAACCATGGGCCCAAAGGCCCAAAATACCAAATTTTGGCGACAAACCCTAAGTCAACTTTCAGGAACCCTAGCCGTCACGTCCATTTTGCCGTCACCGAACTCATCTCCGCACAAAACTCCAGGGGAAGGACCGCCTTGAAGAAACGAATTTGGCGTTGCCGGAACCACCGCAATCAGAGCTGCCACGCGCCTCCACGCGCCAGTTTTGTACCGGTGAGTCAGGCCCACGTGTAGCCACTTTAGGCGGCGCGTGAGGGCGCGCCAGGCCTCCGTTCGCGGTGTTCCGACCACCGTTGTGCTCGTCATTTTGTCCTCTTTCATGTGATGTTGTTGGTTTCTGAAATCGGCCATCAGAAGGTCGCGAACATGTCAAAACAGTGACGAACGCGCTTCTTTGTTCATCTTTTTGATCTTCTTTTATTACAATTTTGGAATACAAATAGAAAAATATACAAAATTGGAATAAAAATTCAAGGAGGAAACCTAATCATATGGGATTAGCCTCCTTGTTATAACACAAGAAAATACAACGAAATTTCTACCATGGATTAAAGCCAAAACCAAATAAAGAATTGATTTTTAAAAAAAGAATTATAAGATACACATGCTAGATTCATACCATAAACATAGAAACCCTAGGTGCCATATTTCGTGAAGCAAAACTAATTACGTGAATAGTGAAACTAGATTCACATAGCAATGTACAGCCAAGGCTCTGATACCAATTGTAGGAACTATTGGATTTATGCGGAAGCGGTTTAGGACCTAGTACATTGGTATGCTTACCGAATCATCCTCGTTTCCCAATTACCTCTTGGTGCACTGGTCTCGTGTAGAATCTTTCCTTGTATGATTCCTCTTCACGAACAGCTCACTTCAGTGCCGCAACACGAACAACCTCCTTGAAGCTGGACTGTGACATATCTTCCAGACTATGTCTCTAGGGGAAATGGGAAGTGTGTGGGGCACTCTCTCACTTTCAGGAAGATGACATTACCTCACCCTCTACAACTGTCAAGTGAAGACTAGAGAGGCTGATGACTATAAGTGTAGAATATATATGGGTTCCAAGAAACCCGAGCCCTAACCAGATTGAGCTTTAGGTTTCTTGGGCTCTTCTTACACACTAGACTCTATTGGGCTTTAGTGAAAGATCAAAACCCAACACTATAAACAGCCATGTATACTTTTAAAAATGTTAAATGTATAAAAATTCAATAAAAAAGTTTTTTATATATAAAAAATTATTTAAAATTTCAGTATTACTTGATTTGGAGCAAAATAGTTGAGGGTTATATAAAGTTTTGCTAACTTTTACTAAAAATAAAACAAACTCTTAGATTTTTACTTATACTAAAAGTATTACCCAATAATAAAAATCTTCCATGTAAATATTACTTGATAAATTTCATTATTTCAGGATATATTGAGAAGTGAGGAACATGATATCATTGTTCTATATTCTTAAATAATGTTGGTCCACAGACAGTTAGTGAAGGCTTTAGCTTGATCGGAGCATTATCTTATAATATTTATTTTATAATTCATACTGAATGTGCTAGACTTGTAAATGGACTTATGTTCTGTCTCACTTCAATAGAGAAAGCCGTGTGCTGAGTTCTAGTTCAGATTGTGGAGTTTGAACCTATTTGGGATTAAAACTTTGATTTCAGAAGTAGGTCAATTTGTAATTCATAGGTATGATTCGTGAAAAATATAAGCCACATAGACACACCAAATCCTTGTTACTAATGGCTTTACCAAATAGTAGTTAAATAAACAAAAGAAGCTTAACTAAATTATAAAATAAAATTCAAAACCAATAATTTTATTGAAGTCAAAACGTCATGAACACATATTGTGAGCTCATTCGTTAAACACAGGTAATCCTTAAATGTATGGTTTGAATATTATAAACTATAAAGAGGTAGACAGAGTGGGGAAAGGCATACAATTCAAGACACTTGTGTTGTGTCTAATGTCATACCAAATATAAGCATCTTTTTTGTATCTCATAGAGAAATATCTTATACACTTTTTCAAGTTGTTAAAACCCGATGTTAAGATTTGTATTTTTTAACTTTGTTATGAATGTTCAATATGTGCTCAGTTCAATAAGGAAATAAAATTGATGATTTATTTAAACACTTCTTTCATCCTCAAGTAAAAGCTTGATTCTTTTCTTGTATTGTTTATACTATTCGTAGAATTACATGCAATGGAAGTAAAGTTATACTCTCTTTTTTGTCCAAGAATTTTCCCTCTTCTACTTGATTCTTTTTTCTCTTTCTGAAGTTATACTTCTTATTCTAAGTGCTTTCCGTCAATAGCTGGAAGCTCTTTCTTTTTTTTTTGTGAGTAAAACTTTTTATCTCAGATCCATAATAGAATTTGCAATGTGCCTTTCTTCTTACTTTGATTGATTTATACTTTAGTTAGCCATACTCTACAAGGCAGAGCAGATTCCCTAACTGTAGTCTGTAGATCCCTTGCAACATAAAGTGACTTGTCATTGGATTAACATTTTATAATTACCGTTACTCTTGGCCCTTTCAGCACAAACAGAAACACCAAATTCTCAAAACTGCATTGCATTCCTTTCTCTGCTCTTTCATCTCACCCCCCAAAATCATGGCCGAATCTCTCCTCTTCAGTGTCGCAGAATCACTCATTGGGAAGCTTGCTTCTCGTGCTGTTGAAGAAGCTTCTCGGGTGTTCGGTGCATACGACGATCTGCGAGAGCTCAAAGAAACTGTGTCATTAATCAAAGCTGTGCTGTTGGATGCAGAGCAAAAGCAGCGGCAGAACAACAACGAGTTGTGTGTGTGGCTGAGACAAATTAAGCGTGTTTTCTCTGATGCCGAAGACATAATTGATGATTTTGAATGTGAAGCGTTACGTAAGCATGTGGTCAACACTTACGGTAGCTGCACAAGGAAGGTACGCCGGTTCTTCTCAACATGTAATCCTCTTGTTTATCGTCTTAGAATGGCACATCAGATTAAAGATGTTAAAAAGAGGTTAGACAAAGTTGCTGCTGATAGGAATAAGCTTGGCCTTCAAACCATTGAGAATGATACACGTGTTGTGCATAGGAGGGAAATGACTCATTCCCATGTTGCTGCTTCCCATGTGATAGGAAGGGAACATGATAAAGAAAATATTATAAAGCTTTTGTTGCAAGATGGTACTGAAGATAGAAGTCTTTCTGTTATTCCCATTGTGGGAATTGGTGGCTTGGGAAAGACTACACTTGCACAATCAGTGTTCAATGATAAGAGTATAGATGAGTCTTTTCCATTGAAGATGTGGGTATGTGTCTCTGAAAATTTTGAACTTGAGGATATGCTTCGTAAAATCCTCAAGTCTGCTACGGATAATAGTACTTCTGCTCCTACCCTTACTCACCAAGAGAGCTTTAAAAGCTATGATATGGATCAACTCCAACGTCATCTAAGAAATAAACTTGCTGGTAAAAAGTTCTTGCTTGTCTTGGATGACGTATGGAACGAGGATCGTGTTGAATGGATTAAGTTGAAGAATTTACTAGAAGGAGGTGCTGAAGGAAGTAAAATCTTGGTAACTACACGTAGCCACTCAATTGCTACCATGATGGGCACTAATTCATTTTATCGTTTACAAGGTCTTTCTCCAGAAGACTCGTTATCTCTATTTGTCAAATGGGCTTTCAAAGAAGAAGGAGAAGAGAGAAGATATCCTGAATTGTTGCAGATTGGGAAAGAAATTGTGAAAAAATGCGGTGGGCTTCCGTTGGCATTGAGAACATTAGGGAGTTCATTATTCTTAAAGGTTGATAAACAAGAGTGGGAGTGTGTTAGAGACAATGACATTTGGAATTTACCTCAAAAACAAGGTGACATCCTGCCTGCTATAAAATTAAGTTATGATCAACTGCCTTCATATTTAAAACCATGTTTTGCTTGCTTCTCCTTTTCCCCGAAGGACTTTGCTTTCAATAATTTAATTGTTACACGGCTTTGGCTGGCACTTGGGTTTCTTCCATCACCAAACAAAAACAAAACATCGGAAGATGTTTGCATTGAACTTTTGTGTGAGCTACAATCAAGATCTTTTCTTCAAGATTTTAGTGACTATGGTACTGCTTGCAGTTTTAAATTACACGATTTGGTGCATGATCTTGCGATGTATGTTGCAAAGGATGAGTTCCAACTCATAAATTCAAGCAGTCCGGATATATCTGAGAATGTCCGGCATATGATATTCATAAAAAATGATTTGCTTGGTCAAACTTCAATTCCAAGAGGTCTGAGATGCATAATTTTTCCTGAGGGAGCCAACAATGAAGCTTTCTTGAATACGTTGGTGTCCAGGTGCAAATACTTGCGGTTATTGGAAATATGTAAGTCTAAATATGAGAGTTTGCCCAGCTCCATTGGTAAGTTGAAACATTTAAGATCTCTTTCTCTTGAAAACAATGATAAACTTGTGAGGCTCCCTAGTTCAGTGTGCGAGCTCCAACATCTGCAAGCTTTGTCCCTCGGAGGATGCACAAAGTTACAAACATTGCCCAAAGGAATAGGAAAAATGATCAGCCTTCGACTTCTGGGTTTAAGCACAAAGCAGTCTGATTTTCCAGACAAAGACATTGCCAAATTGACTTCTCTAGAAATATTAGTATTGAGTCATTGTCACAATTTGGAGTCATTGTTCGAAGGGGTGCAACTTCCTAAGCTTAAATGGTTAACTATTTATTTCTGTGGGAGTCTAAAGTCTTTGCCACTTCATGCTACTCCAAATCTTGAGACTTTAGTTATTGAGAAGTGCAATAAGTTGGAACTGTCGAAGGGCCCTGACAGCCAAATCCTTGAGTTGAAGTTAAAGCTTGTAAGTCTTGATAATTTGCCACAACTGGTGACTTTGCCACAATGGCTGCGAAGATCTGCCAGCACGTTACGTTCCTTACAGATTGAGGACTGTGACAATCTAAAGGAGCTTCCCGAGTGGCTATCGACTCTGATTTTTCTGAAAAGACTTTTCATATACAAATGTCCAGAGTTGCTTTCACTCCCTGATGACATGCATGGTTTCATCAACCTTGAAGAATTAGATATTCAAGATTGTCCGGAATTATGCAGAAGATACCGGCCAGAAGTCGGACGTGATTGGCCCAAAATATCACACATCAAAAATGTCTTAATTGGTGAACTATCATCAGCGGAAGAGGAATTTTGAACAATGCAGTCAAAAGTTGAAGGTATCACTTTTCACTTATTATAGATTTCTGCTTTAGACGATTTTGTTTTTTCTATCCAGAGGAAATGATTTTCTTATTTTACATATTATACTACTTAAATTAAATGTTGTTGTTACCCTTATTGTATTTGTTAATGCTTTTTGTCTTGACATGTTTACACTTTTGGCTTATTTAATTTGTTTTTACTACTTGTGGAATCACAAGGAATGGAAGTAAAGTTAGACTTTTTAGTACCATAGCTTCCCCCTCTTCTCTTTGGTTCTTCTTTTTGACATGAAATGGAAGTTAAGACTTTCTAATCCAAAATTTTTCCCTCAATTTCTGGAAACCCTCTCGATTTTGTTAGATTTTTCATTCCTATCTCGATCTATAACAGAATTCGCAATGCGTTCTTCTTCTTCCTTGAATTTCTGCTTTAGTTTGCCAACAAACATCAATAGCAGAGCAGATTCACTGTATGTGTTTGTGTTTTCTTACAGTTTGTACTTAAATAATGTTGGCCCCCATTCAGTTAGCGATGGCTTATTTTGATTGGAAGATTATATTATAATGTTTCTTTTATAGTTAAAACTGAAACTGCTTGATGCATGAAGAGCTTTTAATTAACATTTTGTTCACCTGCGCTATGTGTCAGATTTTCCTAAATGGACTAATCTTCTGTGACTGGTCACAAGAAAGTGAAGACACCACTGTCGAGTAAAGGATACATATTGAGCTCAGCAACTGCAATTACAACGGCTATCTGATGGGCTGAGATAATTAGTGATGGGCCTAAGATAATTAGTAGTTATTAGGGAGTTATTCTAAAATATTTTCAAATAATAGGATAAATGGAAGGGAGTGTGGGAGTGTGTGGTATGTATGTATTTTGTGAAATGGGAATTGGGAATTAGGAAAAGATCTCTAGGGATCTGTTGAGGCCTAAGTTTTTGGCTTTGAGGGTGAGTTGAGACCTTTGATTTATATTTCTGCATTCTCATTTAATTATTGTCTTGTATTTCTATTACTGTTTGAGTCTGTATTCAAAGTGTTGTAACTCTATTTCTTGTTGTTATCAGTGTTGTAAAGGAGCTTGTCTCCTCCAAACAATTGCTTTTATAGAAGTATGTCAGTGGTTTGTGGTCATTTTTTTGGGTTTCATCAATTTGAGCTTACCTCCTCCGAACAATTGCATTTATAGAAATATGTTAGTGGTTTGTGGTAATTTTTCTGACTTTCATCAATTTGGTATCAGTGGTACAACACTCTAAATACAGACAAACAGTAACAGAGCTACAAGACAGTAATTAAATGACAATACAAAAAATATAAACCAAAGGTCTCAACTCACCCCTCAAAGCCAAAACCTAGGCCTCAAGAGATCCCTAGAGATCCTTTTCTAATTCCCAATTCCCATTTCACAAAATACATGCATACTACACACTCCCACACTCCCTTTCATATATCTTATTATTTGAGAATATTTTAGAATAACTCCCTAATAACTACTAATTATCTTATGCCCATCACTAATTATCTCATCCCATCACTATCTAATTCATATTGTGTAGTAGTAAACTTGTTTTCACCATTATGTCCAAATTTACTTGCTTATTGTGTGGGGAATTATATACTGCTGTTATTTCTTGCTGGCAATGCAGAGGACTCAGAATTATGTTTTTGTATGATACAATCTTTATTATGTTGTTCTCTTCATTACATATTAAGTTTGATATTAATTTTTGAATATACTTTAATGCTACTTATTTCAGACTTTCAGCTTCTACACAACCCTTGCTTCCTCGAAATCTTAATGTTTGATAAATAGCATGTCAAGTCGTTAATAAGACGTTCAACCCTTATACTGGGAAATCATACTTTAAAATTCATAAATATGAATATAAAGTGTAAGAAAAGGTAGAATCTCAAATGTAAAAAATGATTAGGAAAACATCCAACTTAACTCGTGACCTATGAGGCTTGCGTGTTAGGACTTCTTGTTTTTTCTCATTCACAAAAAGGTAAGGTTGTAAAATAGAATATTGGCAATTTTATTTTTATTTTTATATTTTTTGAATAATAACAGGTAATACTTTTATGTCGAACTTTATATTTCACACATTGGGTTGTCACGTACAGTCTCAAATTTTACATTCATGGGCTACAGCAAATAGGTTTACGAATCCTCTTTCTAACACTCTCATCATAAATGGGTTTACAATATTATTCGTAAGTTATTCTATTAACAAAAAAATAGTTTGATGTTTCTCATTTCGTAAGAAATAATACACATACATAAAAGTATGTGAGATCTGTTTGGTCCTAGAGAACCGTAGAACTATACGGTATGGTACCCGCTCAGAGATATCTTAGAGGTAGATATCTTGATTGGCTTATAGCCAATACTTCAATCATTACGCACAAATAATAGGCTTATAGCAAAGATGTGAGTGTGTACACAGTATTGGTAGTGATAATAAATAGGTCAAATGTTGTAAATAGTAATTATATAGTCATTTATTTGTATTTATTTAGTCCGTTACTTGTATATTGGGCCAAGCCCATTAGGTCAAAATTAGGTCAAGAAGTCTCTATAAATAGATACCCCTATGTACAGATTCAAATACGATTCAATAATATTTCAAATACCCTTTTATTTCAAGTTGGTATCAGAGCTCTCGATCCTGAGGGCTCTGCTTCCGCGCCTATTGTCTTTAGAACAAGAACCTTTTATTCTTTTTGTCTCTCGCTGCCATCAGCCGCCACCGGATTTTTTCCGGGGACCTCTTGGACCGAGAAGATCTCTGTTATACTGGATCTCTATTACTGTTCATCGTCTCCATTATTCTTCATCACAAGACAGCATCTGTTCATCACGATTGGACCCTTTCCCGGTGGTTTTTCAACTCCGAACAGACCCAGAAAGAACCTCGCTCACCGGACGACGTTGCTCCAGAAATTTCAGACCGGACGGCCACCGCACGCGCCGCCCCTTCAACCGAGAGTGAAGCCCACGCGCAGCCAATCTCACCGGCGCGTGGCGGCGAGTGAGACCATTTTTCCGGATCAGACCACCGCGATCTTGATCGTCCCTTCATCCTCTTTCTGGATCTGTGCTCCTCTCTTTGATCGGACATCGTTTGGTATTTATTTGTGATTTTTTTGGCTTCTTGGAGCTTTTCTTTGACCATTTTCTGTGCAGTATGGCCTCTTCTCAAAGGAGTTCTTTTTCAAAATTTTATGATGGTACCTCTTCTAGACCTAAGAGAGATGATCGATGGTGTTCTTATTGTAAAAGAACAGGTCATATCAAGGATTTATGCTTTCGCCTTTATGGAAAGCAATCTATCTTAGAAAAGATGGCAAAGTTGCGTGGTCAAGCGCATTTTACTTCCTCTGAAATAACTCCTACACCTAATAAGACCCAACCTGCATTTCGTCCAGATGAGTTGTAACGGCTCCGAACCATTCTTGATTCTATGAGTAAGCCATCTGATACTAGTGCTTTGACTATGACTGGTATGAGCTCTAAAACTTATCCTTTCCTTTCTTCATGTAATGATTTTAAACATTCTTGGGTTTTTGATTCTGGTGCTACTGATCATATGGCTTGTTGTGCTGACTCCTTTACCTCTTATCATCCTACCATTGGAACTCATACAATAGCCGTAGCTGATGGCTCTCATACATCAGTTGCGAGTTCTGGTGACATAAACTTACAGCAGTCCTTACATCTTAAGGATGTTCTTCATGTTCCTAAACTCTCCACGAATCTTCTTTCTATTCATAAAATTACAAAAGATTTGAATTGTATTGTAACATTCTATCCTACCCATTGTGTTTTTCAGGATCTCGCCACGGGGAAGACGATTGGCAGTGCTAAAGAGCAAGGTGGGCTGTACTATCTGGTGTCACAATCTCCTGCAAATAAAGTAACAAATCACATCTTGATGTCTCATGGTCAATCAACTGCTGATTCTTTGATTTTGCTGCATCATAAGCGCTTAGGTCATCCTCCATTTAGTTTACTCAAATCTTTATTTCCATCATTGTTTTTGTCTAAATATGTTGAGTCTTTTCATTGTGATGTTTGTGAATTTACTAAGCATCATCGTGTGTCTTTTGCTTCTAGTATTACTAAGAGTGTTGAACCTTTTGATCTTATTCATTCTGATGTTTGGGGTCCCTCTAAAGTCCCTCATGGTTCTGGAAATAGATGGTTTGTTTCTTTTATTGATGATTGCACTCGTGTAACTTGGGTGTACTTAATGCGTGAAAAGTCTGAGGTACCACAACTGTTCTTTCAATTTTATAAAATGATTGAGACCCAGTTTGGTAAAAAACTCAAGAGACTAAGAACAGATAATGGTACTGAATATGTTAATCATAGCTTTTCCCAATTTATAAGAAATAACGGTATGATTCATGAACTTACTTGTGTTGACACCCCCCAACAGAATGGGGTTGCTGAAAGAAAAAATCGTCACCTTCTTGAAGTGGCTCGTGCATTAATGTTTCAGACACATGTACCCAAATACTATTGGGGAGATGCTATTCTTACTGCAGCATTCTTGATCAACCGTTTACCCACTCGGGTACTTGACCATGTAAGTCCTATTCACTCTATGACTTCTTTTTTCCCTTTTATTCCAACTATGATGAGTCTTCCTCCACGAGTGTTTGGGTGTGTTGCTTTTGTTCATGTTCATAAACATCATCGCAGTAAGTTGGACCCTAGGGCTATTAAATGTGTTTTTTTTTGTTATGTTCCTGATAAGAAGGGCTACTAGGGTGATAGTAGGAAATTTTTTGTTTCTATGGATGTTACATTTCAGGAATCTGAGTCCTTTTTCCAAGGTCCTCATCTTCAGGGGGAGAATCCTTCACCAGAAATCTCATCACCTCCCTTCTTTGAGTTTGAATCATCAGTGTCTACTCATTTACCTATGTCAGTGTATCCTCCACCTGGTCCTGTTCCTCCTGTGTCTGTTTCTCCTTT